TTTCCCCCCAAAGCCCCAGCAGATAGTTGTATGTCATAGGTTCACATCCTTCTAGTTGCTGCACGTGGGACTCGGCCTCGTGCTGGACGGAGAAGTGGTGCCCTGGGGCGCGCCCGGGATCCGAACCCGGGCCGCCAGCATTAGAGCGCGCGCACTTAACCGCTAAGCCACGGAGCCGGCCCTATAATCTATACTTTAAATATGTGCAGTTCAATGTATGTGAATAATCCCTCAGTAAAGTTGCTTTATAAGCACATTCTGTATAAAATTTGGATCTCCCATTCCTCTTGGAATATCAAAAGACTTGCAAAGCTGGACTGACTCCATTATCACCCTCTTCCCATGTCTTAGGTGGATCAACTCTGATTCCAGGCAGCAAACCCTGGAAAGCCATGACGGTCATGTCCATCTAGCACCAGGAAGGATGGCTAGATCAGAAAAGACCCATCACTAGACTCTAAGATCTCCCTTCCTCAGTCATGAATTTCCTGCCTGTGCAGCTATGGTTTAAAGCAAATAACCCAGGCAGGCTAGAGGACTCCATAAAACCTTTGGCTTATTTGCTCTGGCAGTGACACTGGCTACAGGAAATACACAACCCTATAGGTCTGGAGAATTTCTGTGCACTCTCATCACACACAGCCCTAGTGACTGAGACATTCGTGGAAGCTGCTTTAGAAGGGGCTCATCAACTTTACTTCAGTCTCTCCCACTTCCTATTAATCCAATCACTATTTCTGTACAGAATATGGTTACCTTCTGATCCCTGTATGTCTTACAGTCAAGGACATTTTTGACTTCAGGACACACGGTTCCTTGGCAGGTCATGGGAGACAGCGATCCCCCAACAATGCTGAGAAATATGGGACATCCCCTGTGTACAAGGGACCTAACTCACACTGCTGCCAAATGCCCTGAAGATTAGCAAGCCAACTGTCCCATCCTCAAGCTGACTCTGGGAAACAAATAATCTTCATACCCAGAGCAAGGAAATTGGTGCAGAAGTCCTTCAGACTTTCCCAGGAGGACTTGTGCAGCAATGCAAACTGGGCCAAATAGGGACTGACAGCTATTCTTTATCTTATTGCTATTCCGTCCTGAATTGCACAAACAAAGGAAAGGTCCCCACACAAAAACCGTTCACCTTTTCATTCTGGCAGAGCCTAATGCTGATCTCAGTCCACAGCACACAGTGAATAAAACCCCCCTGAGTAAACACAGCTTAATCAATAAGAACTTTACAATCACAAAAACCAGCAATGTGAGGTGGGGAGTCCCAGGTTGGGTAAGTTTGAAGCTGGGAAAATCAACCCAAGCATCACAAGGCAACCAAATATACTCACGAAGAAGGGAAATCTCCACAAGCTGCCTGCAGAAGCTGGCGGCAGTCCTCTTGTCTAAAGCTGGGTCGGGCCGGCCCCGTGGCTTAGCAGTTAAGCGCGTGCGCTCCGCTGCTGGCGGCCCGGGTTCAGATCCCAGGCGCACACCGACGTACTGCTTCTCCGGCCGTGCTGAGGCCGCGTCCCACATACAGCAACTAGAAGGATGTGCAACTATGACACACAACTATCTACTGGGGCTTCGGGGAAATAAATAAATAAATATATAAATAAAAATTAAAGCTGGGTAATATCCACACCCAAACCAGTCAGCAAGGAGGGAATAAGGCACCCTAAAAGCCAAATGACTGGTGAATCCTCCAGATGAAGGGAGACAGCAGAGCTTTCTGCCTCCTCTGAGCACTTGAAGGTGACACATACACACTGTGGCACCCAGCCATGTGGTAGAGGAGGGAAGGCTTCTGTAATAGACACAGGTAGCGACTTAATTCTAGCAAGGACTCCAGGCAGGCTAAGAAGTGCGAGGTGTATTATGAAAGCTTCCAATATACTTGGTACTTAAGAGAATCTCCCTAGGATGTTTGGATGTATGAGGTTCAATTTCTGGCTGATATCTCCTTCATGAAGACTAATCTCCAGAGCTTTGCTCTGTTATTATGTAGAACAAGGAAAGAGCACGTAGCCTGCACTCCTAAGGTCTTTCTCTAGTTTGAGTTTACTAGTGCTGTTTGAGGTTAGGCTAAGGGCTGAATAATTCTCAACATTTGCTGCACTCATACTGCTCTTCTGGGTGTGTGGCTGTTTTAATTTTTATTTATTTATTTTTTTTGCTGAGGAAGATTTGCCCCGAGCTAACATCTTTGCCAATCTTCCTCTATTTTGTATGTGGGTCACTGCCACAGCATGGCCACCACTAGTGGTGTAGGTCTGCACCCGAGAACTGAACCCCAGCCACCGAAGTGGAGCACACCGAACTTAACCACTAGGCCACGGGGCCAGCCCGTGTGTGTGGCTGTTTTAGAAGATTTAAAGGTTCTTGATGGCGGGACACAACACAATGACACTCAGATAGATAAAAGGCAGAATTCTGTATTAATTAGGGCTTGGAATGAAAAGGGAATCAGACAGGACCACACAGCAGGTTGCACAGGGGGTCATGGTAAGCAACCTGGGGCTGTAGGTGGCACCCTCTGTATAGCAAGTGGCCTGGGGCTAGCTAGGTCCCCCAGGCTTCCTGTGGATTGCCTAATTTGAATAATTTCATGGGCTCTGGGCCACAGGGGCTGTTCCTAGTTGCCTGGTATCTGGCTCTGAGACATAATGGATGGTGTATAGAGTATGAGTGCCAGATAAAGACAGTGGTTGGGGACATGGACTTAATCAGCTGCTCCAAAAGAGAAAACGACCAGCATCAAGCCAGGGACTCAAAACTGAGTCAAGGGGGGCCGGCCCAGTGGTGTGCTCCGCTGCCGCAGCCCGGGGTTCACCAGTTTGGATCCCGGGCATGCACGGATGCACCACTTGTCAAGCCATGCTGTGGCAGCGTCCCATATAAAGTAGAGGAAGATGGGCATGGATGCTAGCCCAGGGCCAGTCTTCCTCAGCAAAAAAAGAGGAGGATTGGCAGATGTTAGCTCAGGGCCGATCTTCCTCACAAAAAAAAACAAAACAAAACTGAGTCAAGGGCCGGCCCTGGGACCTAGTGGTTAAGTTCAGCATGCTCTTCTTCAGCAGCCTGGGTTTGGTTCTCAGGTGTGGACTTACACCACTTGTCAGTGGCCATGCTGTGGCGGCGACCCCCATACAAAATAGAGGAAGAATGGCACAGATGTTAGCTCAGGGCAAATCTTCCTCAGCAAAAACAAACAAACAAACAAAAAAACAAAACTGAATCAAGACAGTATTTTCACAAAACTATACATCAAAATCCTGTGGTGCTGGCATAAAGACAGACATAGCCGAGTGAAACAGAACAGAGAGCCCAGACATGAAAGCCAGCATATTCAGTCAAATAATTGACAACAGTGCCAAGACATTTCAATGAGGGAAGAACAGTCTTTTCAACAAATGGTATAGGGGAAAGTGGATATCCACATTCAAAAGAATGAAGTCGGACCCTTACCTTACACCAAACACAAAAACAAACCCAAAGTGGATGATGTACACCCATAACATGCTTAGATGAAAACAGGGAAAAAGCTTCATGACATTGGATTTGGAAATAATTTCTTGGCCATGACACCAAAAGCATAGGAAACAAAAACAAAAATAGATAAATTGGACTACATCAAAATTACAAACTTCTGTGCATCAAAGCACACAATCTAGAGTGAAAAGGCAACCTCCTGAACGGAAGAAAACATTTACACATCATACTTGACAATGGGTTAGTGTCCAGATTATATAAAGAACTGCTATAAGTCAATAATAAGAAAATAACCGGATTTAAAAAATGGACAAATGTAGACATTTTTACAAAGAATACAACAAATGGCCAACAAGTCCATGACCATTAATCACTAGAAAAATGCTAAAGAAAACCACGAGATCCTACCTCACACCCATAAGGATAGCTGCTATTACAAACAACACAGAAAATAAAATGATGTTGATGAGGATGTGGAGCTACTGGAACTCTTGTGGACCTTTGACAGGAATGTAAAATGGTACAGCGATATAGAAAACAGTTCCTCAAAATATTAAAAATAGAATTACCATGTGAACTAGCCATTCTACTTCTGGCTATATACCCAAAAGAACGGAAAGCAGGGTCTCAAGGAGATATTTGTGCACTCATTCTCATGGCAGCATTCTTCAGGATAGCCAAAAAGTGGAAGCAAGGGAAGCATCTACCAGTGGATGAATGGATAAAGAAAACATGGTATACACATACAATGGCGTATTATTCAGCCTTAAAAAGGAAGGAATTCTGAAACGTGCTACATGACACGTGAAATTTGAGGTTATGTTAAGTGAAGTAAGCTACTCACAAAAAGACAAACACTGTATGATTCTTCTCACATGAGGCAGCTAGAGCAGTCCAATTCAGAGGCGGAAAACAGTGGAGGTTGCCAGGGGCTGGAGGAAGAGAAGAATAGTTGTTGTTTAATGGGTACAGAGTTTCACTTTTACAAGATGAAGAGTTCCGGATATTTGTTGCACAACAACGTGAATGTACTTAATGGTACCGTACACTAAAAATACTTAAATGGCAAATTCTATGTATGTGTATTTTACCACAATGAAAAGAAAACAAATCCAAAAGTACATAACAGTACTTCATAGTGCCAATCAGAACAGACTTTTGGCTGAAGACTTCTCCTCGTTTGCTGCACTTTTTTTTTTTTTTGAGGAAGATTGGCCCTGAACTAACATCTGTTGCCAATCTTCCTCCTTTTCTCCTTTTTTGCACCCCAAAGCCCCAGTAGATAGTTGTATGTCATAGTTGCACATCCTTCTAGTTGTTCTACGTAGGATGCCGCCTCAGCATGGCTTGTGAGCAGTACGTAGGTCCATGCCCAACAGCCAAAGAGGTGAACCCCAGGCCACCAAAGCAGAACACACGAACTTAACCGCTATGCCACCAGGTTGGCCCCTGCTGCACTCTTAAGTTCTTTCTCCGGTATGAACTTTTTGAAGCCAAATAAGTGAGAGTTTTGGCTAAAGACTCTCCCACATTCACTGCGTTCATAAGGCATTTCTCCATTGTTGCAAATTCAACAATGTTTAACGAGGCTGGAGTCATATGTAAAGATGTTCCCATGTTTGCAGTTCTCACAGGGACTTACATCAACTTAAACTCTCTAATGTGTAATGAGTCTGGAGCTGTACCACAAAAACTTCCCACATTAGCTGCACTAATAAGGCCTTTCTCTAGTGTGATTTGTCCAATGTCAAATGAGCGTGGAGCCACAAATAGAGAATTTCCCACATTGCTGCACTCATCAGGCCTTTCTCTAGTGTGAATTCTCTGGTGTCTAATAAGTGTGAAGCGGTACCTAAAGAACTTCCCACATTTGCTGCATTCATAAGGCCTTTCTCTAGTGTGAACTCTCTGATGAATAATGAGTGAGGAACTGTCCATAAAGAATTTACCACATTCGTGGCACTCATAAGCCCTTTCCCCAGTGTGGATTTTCTGATGCCCAACAAGTTTATGTTTGCGTCTGAAAGCTTTCCCACATTCGCTGCACTCAAAAGGCCTTTCTCCAGTGTGGATTTTCTGGTGCTCAACAACTTTGTCCTTGCGGCTGAAAGCTTTCCCACATTCGCTGCACTCATAAGGCTTTTCACCACTGTGGATTTTCTGATGCTCAACAAGTTTATGTTTGCGGGTAAAAGCTTTCCCACATTCACTGCACTTGTAAGGCCTTTCTCCAGTGTGAACTCTCTGATGTCTAGTGAGGGTGGAGTGGTTCCTAAAGAATTTTCCACATTCACTGCAACCATAAGGTCTTTCTCCAGTGTGGATTTTCTGGTGAACAATGAGTCGGGACAGTCTAAGGAAGGCCTTCCCACATTGGCTGCACTCAAAAGGCCTTGGCCTGGTGTGAATTCTCTGGTGGTCACTGAGGCCAGATATTTGTTTAAAGAATACTCCACATTCCAGGTGCTCATAAAGCCCAGCTTCAGTGTGGACTTTCTGGTGCTGATCAAGGTGGGACTTTCTAAGGAAGGCCATCACACATTCTCTGTACTCATAAAGCTTTTCTCCAGGGTGGATTTTCTCATGGTCAACAAGTATGCATTTATGGCTGAAGGCTTTCCCACATCGAGTGCACTTGTAATCATTTTGTCCATTTTCAAAGGCCTCTCCATCCTCAGTGTCCCTGTGTGGCTTCCCTCCACTGTGAGGGGCCCGGGGATGCAAAAGGACTTTGCCAGCTGGGAAGCCCTTCCCACCTTCGATGCACATCAAGGTCCCCTCTGTCATGTGAACACTGCTGTTCTTCACAAATAAAGGCCTCCCCTTGTCCCTTCTAGAAAGTTTCTTGTTAATCTGCTGCCTTTGGCGCTGGTAAAGCTTTGCCCCACAAGTGTTCAGTCCTTGCTCAGGGTGTGTTCCATCGTGCTGAGCCAGGCACAAAATGTCTTTCAACAGTGAGCTACATGTCTCACAGGGCTGGGCTTTCTGGATGGACGGACCTGGCTTTGGAGTCCTGACCTGTGACACTCTCATGGAAACACCTCGCTCTGAAGGTGCCTCCTCATTCTGGGCTCCATGCCAACAACCTGTAAGCAGAGAAATGCTGGTGAAGTACACATTGACTTTGGTGGGAGGAGGCAGCCCCATCAGAAATGTGTGTCAGACACACCCACAAATAAGTCCATGGGACTGCTGACAGGCAATGGAGACTAGAGACAGTGAGAGGAAGGCCTGCTGTGCAGAGCTGGGCCTGGGAAGCTCACATGATGGGCAGGACACAAGGAAGGGGTACAGTGCAGGGAGGAGAGGCAGGGTCTCCAACTCACTCCTCTGCAAATGGCTTTTAACAAGGCCAAGGCTGATGGTGACTGGTGGGCATTGAGTGGAAGCTGTGTCCAGATGCAGAAATGTCTGATGGCAACACAGTAGCTGATGTTCAAGGACTATTTAAGGATATCTGTAGACCTCACAACACCTTAAGTGTAGGTCACATGTCAAGAGCACCACAAAGGGATCAGTGGAAAGGAAAGGATGAGAGGTGGAGGCCACAAAAGTTGGGGAGCTAGAGACCTGGGGGCCGGAAGATTAGAAATGACAATGGGAAAGAAAAGACAGAAATGAGGTGTGACCACTGTCCCTGGCATCATGCAATGGTGGGCATAGGCCTGGTTCCCAGTGTGACTGGAACCCAGCTCTGACAACACACCCTTTCCCAGCTTCCAGGGCTATTTCCTGCTGCCACTGATGGAGTAACGTCCACCTGTCAGGTACCCAGGCCCCTCCCCCTTCTTCATGGTAAGCAGCTACATGGGACCTGGAAGAGGCCAACCCAGGTGAAATGCAGGGCAAGGGAATGGCCAGCATGCCCCCAGAGCGATCCAACACATGACAGCCCACAGTCTAAAATCAAAAGAACTTCAGAGGCGGGTCTTGCAGAACCACTGGTCTCTACAAGTAGTGACCACATTGGTGGCTGAAATTCTTGGCAAGGGCAGGCCCCAAGAAATGTCAGGAAGAAGGGAGAAGGCCTTGGTTTCCATCCATCTGAACAGAGTCACCCAACCAGGAACAGGCCAGATCTGAGGGATCTCTCAGACAAACTTCAAGATTTCTGACTCCTGAGCCCTGTCTTGCAAGGCCTCAGAGCAGCAGGGAAGGGGCTGCTTGGGGAGAGCGAGTACAGTACACACAGTCCTGCCCTGGCACCAACAACACAAATGCCAGGAAACCAGGAAAGATAGTGGTACCGATGGTCTTGTTGCGGGAAAGAAAAGGGCCCATCCCCGGACACTGGGGTGGGTGTGAGGGGCTTACCTAGTGATGACAAAAGTGCAAAGTTCTCCAGCATCACATCGAGGTACAGGCTTCTCTGAGCCTCATCAAGGAGGCCCCACTCCTCCTGGGAGAAATGTATGGCCACGTCTGTAAAAACCACAAGTCCCTGCCCACATGGGGACAGTTCAATCAATGTACAGCTTCTCTCTCCAGGATCTTCAGTCTTTCTCCCCACACTTCCATGCCCTCCTCACCCTCCACTCCAACTTCCCAAGTGGAAGAGATGCCAGGTCTGATGGCACTGGTGCCTGCCCTCTCCTCATTTCCAGTGACCGCTGTGTTCAGCACACAGTAAAAATGGCAGGGGAGGACGCAGAAAACTATAATCTAAACTCCGGGCCTGAAATGAGGGCTATACCTCTCTTTTTATCAGTAAATTATCCTCAGGTCCCCCAGAAGTTGCCTCCCAGAAAAGGAAACTTGAACTCATCTTTCTCCCTTAAGTGTCTAGTGCCATGGCCTGGGGCTAAACATCAACACTCCTCCTCACTCACACATCATTCTTGGACTGAACCTCTCTACATACTTGGTTCCTCCACTTTTGCAACTCGGTTACTGAGACCCACTCGCCCATGCTAAAGGTATTTCTGTGGCCTCCCAACGTGCCACTGTGCACGTGGAATCCAGGCAGTATTTTGCAAATGGAATCAGCATTCTATTTTGCCCCATCCTGCCCCAGAATGCCCATGTTCCTTAGCACCAGACTCCTTTTGCAGTTCTCTCCACCTGGCTCTGTCACCTGTGTCACACTCAGCCCTCTAAACCTAATGTGAGGGCCTCATGGACTCCTGGCCCTCTAGCATGTCTTCACTGCACATGCTGTCCTATAAGCAGTCATGAACATTCTCTCTTTACCTGACCCTCACTCAAAGCACAGCTACATCAAACTCCTCATCCCCAACCCAGGCCTAGTAACACTCCTAGCTGATCCTTTTTCACATAAGTTAATCTACTAGCCTGAACGAAACAACCTAGGCCTGACCAAGAGTCACCACAAAACATTTCTGAATCCCAAGAAGGGTAGTAAACCTTACCTGAGCTGACCGACATCTGATCTCCTTCATGGAGATGCTTCAACATCTATCTCATATCCTCAGCCCCCCTTGGAAGCCTTTCAGACTCCTCTACCCTTATCCCATAGTGGCACACCCCACCACAGCCACTCTGCTTCCTCATCTCTCTTTGTGATGTCCACCACCACTAACCATCCAGGCTCCCAATAGAGATAGAAACCTCAGGCTCCTCCTTCCCCTGCCTGCCATCATAACCTAACAACTTGCCCTCTGAAAACTGATGCACAGCTACACTTCGTTCCACATACTGGCCACTATATTGTGGCTGTCAGCAACCTGAACACAGCCCTTGGACTCCAGACCTGTGTGTCCAACTGCCGACTGGGCACCTGCACTTGGAGTCTCTGGAACATCTGTGACAAAACCTGACTCTTTCTATTCCTTCTGAAAATCTCTCCTACTGCTGACTTTCCCATCTCAACTGATAGGACATCCATCCTTCCAGAGAAAGCCAAAAACCTTGGGCCATCCCTGACTCCCCCTTCCAGCTCATCTCCCAGCTCCCTCACTCTCCATATCCCTAAATGGGGGCAGCTCTGTTCAGAACACATCAAGAAGGCAACCACTCCTCTACCTCCACAGCCACCACTCTTGTCCAGCCACCACCAATGCTCACCCGCACCATCACAGTAACTTCCTCCCAGGTTACTCTGCCTCTACCTTCACTCACTCCCACAGCAACTCCTCCCTTCTGCAGCTAAACATAACCTGTTAAAATCCAGGTCAAATCACTGGCTCCTCTGTTCCAAACTTTCCCTAGCTCCTACTTCCCTCAGATTAGAGGTCCAGAACCTCAGGATGTAATTTTAGACCTGATAACTGTGCACACCTACCCTCCAAACACTCCCCCCACTGCCCTGTATTCCCACCAGACATCAAACTTGCACTTATCTGAACAATCCAGCTATCACACCTCCAATCATTTGAACATTCTGGATCCTGTGCCCAGGACACCCTTCCACATCTTACCCCACTGGCTGTCAGAAATGGGAACTGCTCCATAAAATCCAGGACTGAGTGCAAGACCCTGGGCCTTGGAGAAACCACAGCGACTTCAGACCCAAGAGAGGGAGAAGGATAGGCGAACAATCGCGGGACACCACCTTTCTTTATATGGGAGTGGCAAAACCATCGGGGTGATAATTGGGGTGGATGAAGGTCTGACACATCCTCCATTCACCTGTACAGGGTCCATAAGCATTTTTGCAAATGCCATGGGAACCTGTGGGAAGAGGGAGGCCATGAGAAATGGGCAACCATGGTAAAATTCTATAGGCTGAGGTGGACTACCACCCCTGCCCTGCCCTACAGCAAAATGATCTCAGCTTGATGGTATAAGCTCAGTTCCTCTGACCTCAGTGCCACTACTATCAGCTGTGCGACTCTGCATAAGGACTGAACCTTCCTGAGCCTCAATTCCTTTACTATAAAATGGGGATAACAATGATTTCCACCTCATAGGGCTGATAATAGTATTAAATATAAACAGTACACACCACCTGTCAGCTGTAACTATTCATAAGATTAACAATTTTGTACGTCTTCAGCGCAAACGAAGGGACAGGGTTTTGAAAATCTGGGTTGGCACGACTTTCTACTTTCTAAGGTTTTCAGAGAATGGGATATATAACATCCGCTGTTAGAAAATACTACAGGGAAATTAACGTTTCGAACAATTTTTATAAACTGTTGGCATATTTAATTTATTGAAGATGTTCATTTCTTTTTTTTTTTTATAATTTTATTTATTTAATTTTTTCCCCCAAAGCCCCAGTAGATAGTTGTATGTCATAGCTGCACATCCTTCTAGTTGCTGTATGTGGGACACGGCCTCAGCATGGCCGGAGAAGCGGTGTGTCGGTGCGCACCTGGGATCCGAACCCGGGCCGCCAGCAGCGCAGCACAAGCACTTAACCGCTAAGCCACGGGGCCGGCCCGAAGATGTTCATTTCTAATTGACTATGTGTACAGATTTAGAAGGATATTGGTTAACCAACGTTTTAATCAATAAGTGTTTCATACATTATGAATTTAATGAGTTGTAGGGAGACTCTCAGCAGGCAGTTCAGTTACTCTTCCTTTCAGCAAACAAGCCTACCTGCTACACGATCCTCTGAAGGACGCTTGCAGGAGCCCCTTGAGGGTGGCACTCCTTCATTCCTCTTGCCCTGAGAGGTGGAGGAGGTGAGACAGCAGTGCCCTTGTCTGGAACCCCTCTGCTCCACAAACTTGATTGTTACTTTGTCCCACAGGGATTGTCCCCGAAGATCAGCAGACCTGCAGGGCTGAGTCTACACCACCTTACATCTCTATCTCCATCCAGGCCACCAACTTATCACATCCAGGCATCCTTTTCCACGCACACAGGCCAAAATACCTCTTATGCCAGATATCCTCCTTTACAGAGGGAGCATCAGAAATGCTGAAACCCCTATGCCCCACACTCAAAGTCTCAACCCTCCTGACACTTACTACAAGGCCCATCAGAAATAATGATCTTAAGACACTCTCTTCAATCTGAACCCAGGCCATGCCCCGGTCCAGTCCACACACTCCACCCCGCTGATAGCTCCAGCCCAGGTTCCTTCCTGGGCCTCCACACCTTTACGTCCACATACTCATGTGATGTCTCTACCTCAGTGCATCTCCATCTTCAGACATCTTAGGATTACATGTCCCGAATCCAACTCATGATCTTCCCATGAAACTTGTTTCTTGCGCTGACTCCCCCGTCTTTACACTTTAGGGAACTCAGGGAAAGAAACCTTGAGACGGTCCTTCACTCCCTACTTTTGCTCACAGGTTTACGTGATGCTTCAGGAAAACCTGGAGGCTCTATTGTTGAAATCCATCCAGAATCTCATCACATCTCCCCTCGGGCCACCACCCTGGTCCCTCCCCTACCATAGTTCCCCTGGGGTCTGTGGCGGTGACCTCACCGGCCTCCATTCGCATCCTGCTCTTACCCACTTCAACCTCGAGCTCCAGGCACGCCCCTCCCAACCGCCGCCCCCCACAACCTCCCATGGCTTCCAGCTGCTCAGGTTGCCTCTGCGGGCGAGACTCCTCCTCACCTTGTTCCCTGGGGACGAGACACCCCCAGGCGCCGCCGAGGCTGCGACTCAGAAGCACCTGCAGGCCTCGGCCCAGGCCACCCTGAGGGAACTCCCTCCAGCCCTCAGCACACCGGCTCAAACCGGGACTGCACACCCGCCGCCCCCTGTTCCGGACACAGAGGCCGCGGCCCTCAATCCGGGCTTTAGCGCTCGGAGGCGGGAGTCGGGCCGGGGGAGGCCGGGGACGCAGCACCCACCTCACGCGACTTCATCGGCGCGGCCTCCACCACCGACCTGTGGGAAAGGCGGGGCCGGGAGCAAGGCCGCCGCGTCCCCACCCGGCTCTGTCGGGGCTCACAATAGCCTCTGTGCAGCGGGGAGAACGTCTTCTGTCACGCTTTTTCGCTCCGTCACCTGGGTGCCCACCAAGCGCCTCCAGGCTCCTGAACCGGGAAAAACCGCGAGCAACCCGGCGGACGAGAAACAATCCCGGAAGCCCCGCCCCACACGACGCGCAATCACGTAAGCTTCGCTCTCCTAACCCATCATTGGCTCAGTCACCGCCGCTCACCGTGGGGACTTCTGGGTATTGTAGTTTCCGCTACAGCCACTACCGACCGAATCTCAGAGCAAAACTCGCTCCTGATGTGACAAATAAAGGCCAAGTGGCAAGTTCAGGGGTCCCGGGACAAGGAGTTCCGAGCTTCCAAGGGTGGGGCGGGGCTTCTCTTGCTCTTAACGGGAACATACCCAGATTTCTCGGAGAGCAGTCTAGGAAGTCACCAAAAGGTTAGAGACCTGTTATTTCAGACCTTGTGAAGTACAGCAAGTTGCCAAAGGCTACACATCCAAAGGGACCATATTGTAATGACACTCTATGACCACTCATAGCTGTCAGCTATCTTGTCACTTTTCAAATACATGTAGACTGAAGCTCGGGAGTCAACTTAATGAGCTTCTGCAATATTTGGCCCAGGAGAAGAAAGAAAAGACTTCAGACACAGCCACGGTGGAAAAGATGGAGGAGGGATGACAGGAGGCACAGAAACACGGAGAAAGGGGGTAACTGTGCCTCTGATCCCTAGAAAAACATCTTTCCTGCCTGTGTAGTCCGTGATTGTGTTCGAACTCAGTGAGAAACACATTTCTTCAAATAATATTTATTTTTTATTTATTCCATATAAGGTATTTTGCAATTCTTTTAAGAATCTGAAACCTATCTGAAAAGAATGGTGACTTATCACATGCCATTTTCTGCCGGCACAGTGTGTGCTCTTGGGAGCATCTTGTCCCCAAGACAAACGTATGGGATCCCATCATCTCATCTTCTTGCTGGGAAGTGATTTATCATGTCACCTGAAATTCCAATAGTGTCTTCACAGGGAGTTCAAATTATTGTGAAAACCACTTGTGAAATGGAGATTACTAGAAGGTATTAAGAATGATTATGTAGTTATCCAAAGAAAGTAGCAGAAATAGTTCTAGGGAAACATACTTGTGACATGAAAAAAAAAGGTCATAAGGTCATACCTCAGTGAAGTTTAAGCAAGAGACGGTGAAGTCTGAAAAGTCAGAGAAGGGAGCTGAACTGTGGCTATGCTGAAACCTTGGCCACACTCAGGCTTTTGTCTCCAAAACGTGATTCTTTTTCACACTTGAAAACGTGGCCCGTTAATTGCTTGGAGGAATAGAAACGATATTTTGAAAGACTTGCCAGAAAAGTGAAAATGAATAGGAAAGCTGTGCCATGTATTTACTGATCTAAGCAATGTTCAGTAGGTGCCTGGGACACACCGGGAATAGGGTTGTCAGCTGTCTGCATATATAGGACTGTTCTGTCTTCTTAGATTCTGTATTAGTCTATTTAGCATTCATTTATCATAAGGCCAAACAATAGTGAAAGATGTGTACTTCTCCCTGTTGCAAGTCAGCATTCCTAGGCTCGCAAAACTCCTATTACAAACACCCTGAGAACAAACTCCAATGTGTGTTCTGGCTTCCTGCCCGACAGGGGATGACCACCTAGGTACTCCCTGCCACCTTACTCATAAAAGCATAATCCCAGATTCTCCCCCACCCCCTCCTTCCTGTATGTGACAAGGTTTCATGTGGACCTCCCTAGTGTGCCATGCGTCTCATTTCCAGGGTGTTGCAAGTTTAGCTAAGTTACTCCATGGTATCGCCGCCTCGGCTTCCATTTTGTGTGGCCAAGCAGCCTGCAGGGACTTTAAACTGACACTCACCCCTCACAGAAATAGCTGCCCTAGACAGCAGCCCACAGAGTCACAATCAAATAAGTTTCTGATATGACTTCCCAAAGGCCCTTGTGATCAAATCTCCCCTGCCTCCCAGCACCTGTATGCCCTATGTCCCGCCTTGGAGCTTAACAAAACCCCGCTCTTTATGGTTTGAATTGACCAACCTGGACTTAAGCCCGTGGACCCCAAAGCACTGTACCCACAAACCCTAATAAAGGCATGTGCCCCAGGTCCTGCCACATGCCTCTCTCTGCCAGCAACCTGCCTTGACCTCCCTGTGTGGCCCCTGGAGGTGTGCCATGTACTTCCTCCAGGACCTGTAATAAACTTCCCTATTTTGACTTCTGTTGTGGTCTCGGTCTGTTGTGGAACCGTGACTCACCATCTGGCACCCTGTGTTCCACTTAGCAAATGTTAATTTAAGAAATTCACGGGCCAGCCCCGTGGCTTAGTGGTTAAGCGCACGCACTCCGCTGCTGGCGGCCCGGGTTCGGATCCCAGGCATGCACCGACGCACCGCTTCTCCAGCCATGCTGAGGCCGCGTCCCACATACAGCAACTAGAAGGCTGTGCAGCTATGACATACAACTATCTACTGGGGCTTTGGGGGGAAAAATAAATAAATAAAAAAATTTAAAAAGTAAGAAACTCATAACACAGGGAAGTGTTGAGTAACACAACTTGCCGTTCAATGGCATTGACCTCTCCATGCTGCCATTCAGTCACCTTTGTAAATGAAGACCTGGGCACAATTCAAGGACATGACCTGTATTTAATGAGTTGGTTCTGCTTCCTATGTTGACTTTGTCAGGATGCCCTAAATAGCCTGTATTCAGCTTTTTACAATACATCACAAAATGGTTGACAGTTAGGGACTTGATTAATTCCTGGCACCTTCCCTAAGTTTGGCCCACACTTCCCTCTTAGGACCAACCAGACAAAGCCAACTATGTACCCCTAACAAATCACAAAGGAGTCCTAGTTCTACTTAGGCCCCCTGCTGCTTCCCCACACCAGCATTCCATAATCAGGGCATGACTGAAACCTTACCTTTTTTCCATTATAAAGTATTCCCACTCCTCTGCTTGCCTTTGAGTCTCTGCCAAATGCAGCTGATGGTGAATAAATAGGCTTTATTTATAAAGAGAAGAACAAAACTCATTGATATAGAAAACAGACAAAATCTATACCATAAAAAGTGATGAAACAGGGCCGGCCCCGTGGCTTAGCGGTTAAGTGCATGCACTCCGCTGCTGGCGGCCCGGGTTCGGATCCCGGGCGCGCATCGATGCACCACTTCTCCAGCCACGCTGAGGCCGCGTCCCACATACAGCAACTAGAAGGCTGTGCAGCTATGACATACAACTATCTACTGGGGCTTTGGGGGAAAAAAATGAATTAAAAAAAAAAAAGTGATGAAACAAAAAGTGGTTGTTTTGAACAATCAATGAAATTGACAACTTTAGGTAGACCGCCAAAACCATAAGAAAAAAGAGAAATTAAGAAATCCAGAGGGCCGGCCCCGTGGCTTAGCAGTTAAGTGCTCGCGTTCCACTACTGGCAGCCCGGGTTCGGATCACAGGCGCACACCGATGCACCACTTCTCCAGCCACGCTGAGGCCGTGTCCCACATATAGCAACTAGAAGGATGTGCAACTATGACATACAACTATCTACTGGAGCTTTGGGGAAAAAAAAAAAAAAGGAGGAAGATTGGCAATAGATGTTAGCTCAGAGCCGGTCTTCCTCAGCAAAAAGAAGAGGATTAGCATGGATGTTAGCTCAGGGCTGATCTTCCTCACACACACGAAAAAAAGAAAATCAGGAATGGAGGGGAAATCTGACTAGTGACGCTACAAAAATTAAAAGTATCAAAAGGAAATAGTATGAACAACTTATCTACCATAATTTAAACAACTTAGATGAGATGTACAAATTCCTTCAAAGACACAAATTCTTAAAATTGACATAACAGGGAGAAAACCTATAGAGAACTAATACTAAATAAGTCATTGAAAATCTTCCCACAGGGAAATCCCAGGCCCAGATGCCTTCAGAAGGGAATTCTATCAAACATTTAAAAGAAGAAATGTGGGGCCAGCCCAGGGGTGCAGCGGTTAAGTGCGTGCACTCCGCTTTTCAGCGGCCCGGGATTCCCAGGTTCGGATCCCAGGTGCGCACCAACGCACCGCTTGTCAAGCCATGCTGTGGCGGTGTCCCACATAAACCAGAGGAAGATGGGCACGGATGTTAGCCCAGGGCCAATATTCCTCAGCAAAAAAGACGAGGATTGGCATCGGACATTAGCTCAGGGCTGATCTTCCTCACAAAAAAAAAAAAAAAAAGAAGAAACGTCACTAATCTTCACAAATTCTGCCAGAAAAAAAAGAGAAGGAACATATCCCTACTCATTCTATGAGGTGAGAATTCCTCTGATCTCAACGTGACAGAGACAACACATGAAAACTACAGACTAATTAACCCTTATCTATATAGATTTAAAACACATAAAAAATTATCAAAAAACCTGATTCTGCAAGATATATAAAGGATAATACATCATGTGCAAGTGGGATTTGTCTAACTGGGGATGCAAGATTGGTTTAACATCTGAACACCAATCAATGGAATGTATCATATGAAGAGAATAAAAGACCAAAACAAACAAAAAAACCCTACCACATGACCAACAGATGCAAAAAAGTTTAAACAGAGAGCCCAGAAATAGATCCACACAATTATTGTCCACTTATCTTTGACAAAGGAGCAAAGGCAGTTCAATGGAAAAAGGATAGTCTTTTCAACATACGGTGCTAGAATTCAACAGCCACAAGTGAAAAAAAAAAATGAATCTATACACAGAACTTACACTTTACACAACAATTCACTCAAAATGGATTAAAGACTTAAATGTAAAACACAAAACTATAAAACCCCTAGAAGATAACATAGGAGACCTTAGGTTTTGTGGTAAATTTTGAGATACAACACCAAAATCACAATTTATGAAGGAAAACTGCATAAGCTGGAGTTGACTAAAATCAAAAATATCTTTTCTGCAAAAGACACTGTTAAGAGAATATGAAAAGATGGTCAACATCATATGTCAATAGGGAACTGAGATAAACAAAAAGCCAACAAGTTAAAAAACAACGGGATACCACTACCCCCACCCACTTGAATGGCTAAAATTCAAAATAATGACAACAGCAAATGCTGGCAAGGAGGTGGAGCAACAAGAACTCTCATTCATTGCTTGTGGTAAATCTAACTGTATAGCATCCCTGGAAGGCAGTTTGACAGTTTCTCACAAAACGAAATATACTCTTGCCATAGGATGCAGCAATCATGCTCCTTGACATGTATACACATGAGTGGAAAGGTTATATCCACACAATATCGCCACACTGATGTACAGCAGCTTTATTCATAGTTGTCAAAACTTGGAAGCAGCCAAGATATCCTTTCATAGAAGAATGGATAAACAAATTTTGATACATTCATACAAGCAATATTATTCAGTGATAAAAGGAAATATACTATCAAATCATGAAAAGACAGGGAGGAACCCTAACTGCATATTACTAAATGAAAGAAGCCAATCAGAAAAGGCTACATAGTAGATGATTCCAAGTATATGACATTCCAGAAAAAGCAAAACTACGGAGATAGTAAAAAGATCAGTGATTACAGAGAGAAAAAGCAACCAACTGAAAGGGAGAAAATATTTGCAAAGTATATATCTGATACAGGGTTAATCTCCAAAACACAGAAAGATCTCCTACAACTCAATACCAAGAAACTAACCTGATTTAAAAATGGGATAAAGCCTTGACTAGACATTTCTCCAAAGAAGATATACAAATGGCCAACAGGTATGGGGAAAAATGCTCATTGTCACTAATCATCAGGGAAATGCAAATCAGAACCATAATGAGATATTACCTCACACCTGTCAGGATGGCTATTATCAAAAAAGCAAAAGACAAGTCTTGGTAAGGATATGAGAAACTGGAACTCTTGTACACTTTTGGTGGGAATGTAAAATGGTGCAGCTGCTCTGGAAAATAGTACAGAGGTTTCTCAAAACACTAAAAATAGAACTACCATAGGATGCAGTAGTCCCACCTCTGAGTATATATCCAAACAAACTGAAATCAAGACCCGGAAGAGATATTAGCTGTTCTGTGTTCACTGAAGCACTATTCACAATAGCTAAGATGAGGAAACAACCTGAATACCCATCAACAGATGAATGGATGATGAAAATATGATATGTACATACAGTAGAATATTATTCAGCCTTTAAAAAGAAGGAAATTTTGCAATATGTGACAACATGGACGCACCTTGAAGATATTATGCTAAGTGAAATAAGCCAGACACAGAACGACACGTACCACATGATTCCACTTATATGAGGAATATAAAATAGTCAAATTCATAAAATCAAAGACTGGAATGGTGGTTACCAGGGGCTGGGGGAAGGAAGAAATGAGGAGTTATCAATCAACAGGCACAAAGTTACAAAGTTTCAGTTCACACGCATGAATAGGCTCTACATACCTACTGTACATCATTGTACCTATAGGCAATAATAACGCACTGCAAATCTAACATTGGTTTGATTTCATATTGTTTGTACGACACACCCACACAAAAAGTCAGTGGTTGTCAGGGGAGAGGAGAGAGAAGAAGGTGGGTAAATAGGTGGAGCACAGGGGATTATTAAGGCAGTGAAACTACTCTGTATCACACTGGAATAGTGGCAATATGACATTATACACGTGTCAAAACCCACAGGATGAAAAACACAGAGATTGAACCTTAATGTAATCTGTGGACTTTAGTTAATAATCATCATTTGCCTCATCAGTTGTAAGAAATGTACCACACTAAAACAAGATGCCTTATTGGGAAACTTCAGGTGTGGGGATGGTGGTTGCGAAGGGGAATATGGGAACTCTCTACTTTCTGCTGAATTTCTCTGTAAACTGAAAGCTGCTCAAAATATAAAGTTTAATTTAAAAAATGTTAAATCATTCACCAACTCTAACCATGCCATTCCATTCACAGGTATTTAACAAAGAAAAATAAAACATACATCATCAGTACAGCCCTAGATCCTCTGGTGAGGTTTACATGATTGCTTCCACATCATCTCACACCTGCTTCCCAGTTTAGAAATTAGAAGGACTTACAGTAATATGCTTACATTTAATTTGCTTTCCTTTAATACTATTAAGCTTGAGCATCTATTCATTGCCTTGACAGCCACCTGGTTTTCCTCTCTTGTTGAGGACATGCTCATACTTTAGTTCATTTGTGGGGACTTTGACAACATACTCTGAAATACAAATCTAAATCTTGTTTGTCTAATACTGAGCAGATGTAGATATTTTAAATGTCTTCTCTCAATCCTGCAACTCTAAATTTTGTCATGAGTTTTATAAAACAGAAAGCATTAAATTTAGATGTACAATCAATTCTTCATCTAATATACATTGCACTGTGGAATTAAAAAACTACTACCAGAGGGGCTGGCCCAGTGGTATAGTGGTTAAGTTCGCACACCCCACTTCGGTGGCCCAGGGTTCATGGGTCTGGATCCCGAGCATGGACCTACGCACTGCTTATCAAGCCATGCTGTGGCAGGTGTCCCACATATAGAGAAAGATGGGCACAGATGTTAGCCCAGGACCAATCTTCCTCAGCAAGAAGAGGATTGCGGCCCGCCCAGTGGCGTAGTGGTTAAGTTCGTGTGCGCTGCTTTGGCAGCCCAGGGTTCGCAGGTTCAGATCCCAGGCACAGACCTAGGCACTGCTTATCAAGCCACGCTGTGGCAGGTGTCCCACACATAAAATGGAGGAAGATGGGCACGGATGTTAGCTCAGGGCCAATCTTCCTCAGCAAAAAGAGGAGGATTGGCAGCAGATGTTTGCTCAGGGCTGGTCTACCTCACCAAAAAAAAAAAAGGGGAGGATTGGCAAGAGATGTTAGCTCAGGGCTAATCTTCCTCAACAACAACAACACAATACTACCAGATACTAAAATCTGAGATTGGTTCCCAGATCTCTAACACTATTCTCTTTCCATTTACTATATCATACTCCCTGTTGACTTTTCTCAAATAAGCCAATTGGTTTGCGGATTTCCTGAGATGGTGATTGTGAAAGCCCTGAACACAAGACACATAACAGGTAGTCAATAAAATCTGAATTTTCTCCTCTATTCCTTCTGCATCATATTATCAGTCCCTACTTTATTTTCTTTCTTTTATCTCCTCATCTTTCAATTCCTACTGTTTTTTTCATTCTTCTTTTTATCTAAAGAAAAAACAAAAACTAAAGACCACATTCCCAATGCCAGTGATTTCTTGGATATGACACCGAAAGCACATACAACAAAAGTAAAAATAGATAAATTGGACTATATCAAAAGAAAAATCTTCTGTACATGAAAGGATACAATCAACAGAGTGAAAAGGCAACCCACAAAACAACAAAATATTTGCAAATCATGTATCTGATAAGGGGATAATATCAGAACATACAAGGACTCCCAAAGGTAAGCAACAAAACCATTCAACTTAAAAATAGGCAAAGGGGGGCCGGCCCCGTGGCTTAGCAGTTAAGTGTGCGCTCCACTGCTGGCGGCCCGGGGTTCGGATCCCGGGCGCCCACCGACGCACCGCTTCTCTGGCCATGCTGAGGCCACGTCCCACATACAGCAACTAGGAGGATGTGCAGCTATGACATACAACTATCTACTGGGGCTTTGGGGGAAGAAAAATAAATAAAATTATAAAAAAAAAAAATAGGCAAAGGATCTGAACAGGCATTTCTCCAAAGATGATACACAAATGGCCAACAAGTACATAGAAAGATACTCAACACCAGCAAACATGAGGAAAACGCAAATCTAAACCACAATGAGACACCATCATACACACATTAAGATAGCTAATACCAAAAAAAGACTAAAAAATTTTGGCAAGGATTTGGAGAAACTGGATCCCTGTGCACTGTTGGTGGGAATATAAAATGGTACAGCCACTATGGAAAACAGTTCCTCAAAAAACCTAAAAATTGAAGTAGCATATGAACCAGCAGTTCTGAAAGCAGAGCCTCAAAGAGATATTGCTAACAACAACAAACAAACACATAGAGACAGAGACTGGATTGGTGGTTACCAGAGGGGAAGAGGAGAGGGAGGAGGACGAAAAGGATCATTAGGCACATGTGTGTGGTGATGGACTGTAATTAGTATTTGGGTGGTGAACACGAGAACGTGATGTAATCCATGCAGAAATAGAAGTATAACGATGTATACCTGAAATTTATACAATGTTTTATAAACCAATGTTACTGCAATAAACAAAAAATTTTTTTAAAAAAGCAGCATCCATTCAAGGAAAAAAAAAAAAAGAGAGAGAGATTGCTACACTCATGCTTGTAATATTACGCACAAGCCAAACAGTGGAAGCAAACTCATAAGTCTTTTTCCAGGGTGAAGTCTCCAATGCTTAGGAGTGTGGAGCTGCACCTCAAGAACTTTCCACAATGGCTAAACTCCTAAGGTGTTTCTCCAGTGAACTCTTGATGTATATGGAGGTTTGAGCTGTCCCTAAAAAAGTATCCACGTTTGCAGCACCCATAAGGCCTTTCTCCAGCAAAACTCCTATCTTTAATGAGATTGGCATTGCCTCTAAGGAATTTCCCACATTCACTGCGCTCATAAGGCTTTTATCTACTGTGGATTTTCTGGTGCTCAATAAGTTTATATTTGAGGATGAAAGCTTTCCCACATTCACCACACACATAAGGCCTTTCTCCAGCGTGAATTTTCCGATGTTTATTGAGGCTGGAGTTACAGCTATAGGATTTCCCACATTCACTGCACTCATAAGGCCTTTCTCCAGTGTGCATTCTCTGGTGATAAACAAGTTGAAGCTTTCTAAGAAAAGCCTTTCCACATACAGTGCAGTGATAAGGCCTTTCTCCAGAGTGGATTTTCTGATGCTCAACAAGCATACATTTGAAGAAGAAGGCCTTCCCACATTCACTGCACTTATAAGGCTTTTCTCCACTGTGAACTCTCCGATGTTTAATGAGGTAGGAGTTGCACGTAAAGAATATCCCACATTCCCTACACTCATAAGACTTTTCTGCAGTGTGGGTTTTCTGATGCCCAACAAGTGTAATATTGCTGTGGAAAGCTTTACCACATTCACTGCACTCATAAGGCCGTTCTCCAGTGTGGAGTGTCTGATGCTGAAGGAGTTGGAACTTTCTAATGAAGGTCTTCCCACATTCACTGCACGCGTAAGGCATTTCTCCAGTGTGAATTCTCCGATGTGTAATAAGATTGGATTTGTATGTAAAGACTTTCCCACATTCACTGCACCCATAAGGCCTTTCTCCAGTGTGAATTCTCTGATGGTTAATAAGACTGCAGTTGTCTGTAAAGACTTTTCCACATTCACTGCACTCATAAGGCATTTCTCCAGTGTGAATTCTCTGATGTTTAATGAGATTGGAATTGTATGTAAAGACTTTCCCACATTCATTACACTCATAACGCCTATCTCGAGTGTGAATTCTCTGATGTTTAATGAGACTAGAGTTGTCTGTAAATACTTTCCTGCACTCACTGCACTCATAAGGCATTTCTCCAGTGTGACTTCTTCGATGTTTAATGAGATTGGAGTTGTATGTAAAGAGTTTCCCGCATTCACTGCACTTAAAAGGCCTTTCTCCAGTGTGAATTCTCTGATGTTTATTGAGACTGGAGTTGCACATAAAGACTTTCCCGCAGTCTCTGCACTCAGAAGGCCTTTCTTGAGCGTGAATTCTCTGATGTTTAAGGAGACTGGAGTTGTATGGAAACATTTTCCCACATTCACTGCACTCATAAGGTCTTTCTCCAGAGTGACTTCTCTGATGTTTAATGAGACTGGAGTTGCATGTAAAGACTTTCCCGCACTCTCTGCACTTACAAGACCTTCCTCTAGTGTGAATTCTCTGATGTTTAATGAGACTGGAGTTCTCTGTAATGACTTTCCCACATTCACCAGAATCATAAGGCCTTTCTCCAGTGTGAAGTCTCCGATGTTTAATGAGATTGGAGTTGTACGTAAAGAGTTTCCCGCATTCTCTGCACTCATAAGGCCTTTCTCTAGTGTGAATTCTCCGATGTTTAATAAGATTGGAGTTGTCTGTAAAAACTTTTCCGCATTCCCTGCACTCATAAGGCCTTTCTCCAGTATGAATTATCTGATGTTTAATGAGACTGGAATTGTATAGAAAGACTTTACCACATTCACTGCACTCATAAGGCCTTTCTCCAGTGTGAATTATCTGATGTTTAAGGAGACTGGAGTTGTATATAAAGACTTTCCCGCAATCTCTGCACTCATAAGGCCTTTCTCTGTGAATTCTCTGATGTTTAATGAGGTTGGAGTTGTATGTAAAGGCTTTCCCGCATTCTCTGCACTCGTAAGGCCTTTCTCCAGTATGAATTATCTGATGTTTAATGAGACTGGAGTTGTATATAAAGATTTTTCCACATTCACTGCACTCATAAGGCCTTTCTCCAGCGTGAATCATCTGATGTTTAATAAGACTGGAGTTGTATATAAAGACTTTTCCGCATTCTCTGCACTCATAAGGCCTTTCTCTAGTGTGAATTCTCTGATGTTTAATAAGTTTGGAGTTGTACCTAAATAATTTCCCACACTGCCTACACTTAAAACTGTTTTCTTTAGTGTGCTTTGTCTGATGTTTACTGAGGTCAGAGTTGTGCCTAAACAATGTCCCACTTTCACTGCACTCATAAGGTCCATCTCCAGTGTGGACTTTCTGGTGCTCCACAAGTATCTGTTTATGGCTGAAGGCTTTTCTACGCTGACTGAACTTGTAATCATTTTTTCCACTTTCAAAGGCCTCCTCGCAATCGGTCTCCCTGTGTGGGTTCCCCTCACTGTGAGGGGCCGGGGGCTGGAGAAGGACTGGGCTGGTTGGCAAGCACTTCCTACCTTCAGTGCATGTCGAGGTCCTCTCTGTCATGGGAACTCCATGGTCTGTGACAAATGAAGAGTTCTCACTGTCCTTTATGGAAAGTTTATCTCTAATCTGCTTCTTTGGATACTGGTGCAGCCTTGTCCCATAAGTGTACAGCCCTTGATCGGGGTGTGTCCCATCATGCTCAGCCAGGTGCAAAATGTCTTTCAAGAGTGAGGCACATCTATCACGTGGCTGGGCCTTCTGGGTGGATGAACCTGGCTCTGGAGTCCTGACATGTGACAATCCCACAGAAAAACCTTGCTCAAAAGGTGCCTCTTCATCCTGAGCTCCATGCCAACAACCTGTAAGCAGAGAGATGCTAGTGAAGTGTAGGTTGACTTTGGTGGCAGAAGGCAGCCCCACTAATGAGTGTCAGACAATCCATGAATAAGTCCATGGGACTGGTGAATGACAATGAGGACTAGAGCCAGCAAGAGGAAGGCTTTCTGTGCAGAGCTGGGCCTGGGAAGCTCACATGAAGGCAAGGACACAAGGAAGGGGTACAGTGTGGGAGGAGAGACAGGGTCCCTAACTCACTCTTCTGCAAAGGGCTTTGAACAAGGCCATGGCTGCTGATGACTGGTAAGCAGTGAGCAGATGTGTCCAGATCCAGAAATGTCTGACTGTGACACAGCAGCTCGTGCTCAAGGACTATTCAAGAATATGTACAGACCTCTCACCACGTTCAGTGTAGGTCAAATGTTGGAGAGCCCTGCAAAGGGAGCAGTGGAAGAGAATGGGTGAGAGGCAGAGGTCAGATAGCTGTGTGTTTTTTGGGGAGAGACACGGACAGAAGTCAGAGTAGAAATGACAATGGGGAAGAAAAGGTGGAAGTAAGATGTGGCCACCGTCCCTGGCGTCATGCAATGGTGGGCTCAGGACAGGCTCCCAGCATGATGTGAACTCAGCTCTGACCTCAAATCCTTTCCCAGCTCCCATGCACCAGCCCAGGACCTTGTGAGCCTCTCCCGCCATTGTTCTCCTGCAAGTGCACCACCCTGTCAGGCACCAGGGAGTGGCCACCAGGCACCCAGAGTGACCCACCCCATGACATCCCACATTCTAAAGTTACAAAAACTTCAAGAGGGTCTTTAAAAAAACAACGCCAAGGGGCTAGCCCGGTGGCGTAGCAGTTAAGTTCGTGCGCTCTGCTTTGGCAGCCCGGGGTTCGCAGGTTCAGATCCCAGGCACAGACCTACTCACTGCTTATCAAGCCATGCTGTGGCAGCGCCCCATATAAAGTAGAGGAAGATGGGCACAGATGTTAGCCCAGGGTCAATCTTCCTCAGCAACAAGAGGAGGACTGGCAACGGATGTTAGCTCAGGGCTAATCTTCCTCCCAAAAAAAAAAAAAAAACAAAAAAAAAAAACAATGCCATGCTCCCCACAAGTAGTGACCACAGTGGTGCCTGAAATTACTTGCACAAGCAGGCCCCAAGAAATGTCAACAAGAGGGAGGGCAAAGGCCTGGGACACAGAGCTTCCGAGCATCAAGACAGAGTCACTCAACCGGGGACAAACTGGTGGGATCTCTCAGACAAACTTCAAGGTTACTGAGTCCTGAGCCCTGTCTTGCAAGCTCTTCAAAGCAGCAGGATGGGCGTTTGGGGAGAGCGGGTACAGTGCACACAGTCCAGCTCCAGCACCAACAATCCACATGCCAGGAAACCAGGAAAGGTAGTGGTACCCATGGTCTCATGGGAGAGCTGCCCGTGGAAAAGGGGAAGAACAGAGCCCAGCCCAGGACACTGGGGTGAGTGTGAGGGCCTTACCTACGGAGGACAAATGTGTAACAATCTCCAGCATCACATGACGGTACAGGCGTCTCTGAGCCTCATCAAGGAGGTCCCACTCCTCTTGGGAGAAATAAACGGCGACGTCCTCAAAGACCACACAGCCCTGTCAAAATTGGGACAGTTCAGTCCACGAGCAGCTTCTTCTTCTGTGCTTGCTTGAATATATATTTATCTAATTGCCATCCATTAACTACAAAGCCAAGTGCCAGTCCTGAGGGCCTTCCATTCACTCTCTTCCTCATCCTCACCTACACATCACTCTTTGGACTGCACCTCTCTCATGTCTCTGACCTCGTCATTGCAACGCTTTCTGGCCACCCGGGACCACACCACAGACATCTCCATGGCCTATGAACGTGCAACACCACATGTGGAATCTACGTAGTGCACAGCAAATGCAACATGTGACCTATTCTGCCCAAGAACACCAAAGTCCCCTAACACCTGGGACAGCCTCTAGGTCTGATTTGAAGGTCTCCCCATCTGGTCCTGCTTCTTGCTTTAATGCAGTCACCCAAACCTATGTGAAGACCTCATGATTCTTGGCCCTCTCCCACTTCTGCATCGGACACATTGTCCCATAAGCAGTCAGGACCTTCCTCTCTCCACCTGAACATCATTCAAAGCTCAGTTACACTGACTCCCAACCACCATCATTACCCCAGGCCTAGTAAACTACTGGTGATCGCATTTCCCCTTAAATTAATCTACCAGCCTGAAACAATCCAGGCCCCACCAACAGTTACCACAAAACACTGCTGAGTCATTAGACAGATAATAAGAGCCACACTGACCTTACTGCCATCTTTACTCCCGCAATGAAATGTCTCAGCATCCATCTCATGACCCTTCTCCTCTTGGAAGCCTTTCTTACTCTTCCGTCCTTCCTCTCACATGCACATCACCTCACAACCACTACACTTCCTCACCTAACTTTGTGACGCCCACCAACACCATCCTGGTGCCCAATTGAGAGACCTAGTCCTGGCCTCCTCCACCTTCTTTGCTACCTAATGGCATCACATCATAGCCCAAATGGGACCCCTCACAAATCTGACCCACAGCTTCATTCCCGTTCATAGTGGCTACTATGTCATGGCTGTCTCCAATCTGAAGGCCTTCCCTGAACTCTAGACCTGTGTGTCCAACTGCCAACTGGACACCTCCACATAAGAGCCTGTGGAACATCTGTGATATGTCCAAAACCTGACTCCTCATATTCCTCCTAAAAATGCGTCCCACTGCTGACTTCAACCATCTTATGGATGGAACAGCCATCCTTACAAACAAGACCAAAAATCTTGGGGCCTGAGTCCCCCGCCCTCTTTCATCTCACCTCCCAGGCTCCCTCACTCACATCATAAAATGGGGTCAGTTCTAGTTTCAAAACAGATCCAAACGCCAAACTCTCCTCCCACCTCCACAGCCACCACCCTTGTCCAGCACCCACCAACACTCATCTGCACTGTGGTAGTAGCTTCCTTCCAGATCTCCCTTCCTCCACCCTCACCCCGACATTCTCTCCTCCACTTGAGCCAGAGACAGTCTATTCAAATCTGGATCAGATCACATCACTTCTCTGCTCCAAACCGTCCCCTCACTCCCATCGTGCTGCACATTAGAGGCATAGAAGCTGAAGTTGTCGTTCCAGGCCCGACCCCTGTGCACTCCTACCACCCCACGCCAGCTCTGTATTCCCAGAAGATACAACATACTTGCAGTTTCCGAACATTCCGGCTCAGTCTCACCTTCAAACATTTGAACTGTCTGGATCCTGTGCCCAGGACTCCCTGTCACACATTGTCCCAACAGTTGTCAGAAATGGGAACAGCTCCATATAACCTGGGACTGAGTTCTGGACCCTTGGCCTGGTGAAATCACACTGTCTTCTGACCCAACAGTAGGAGAAAGAGAGGTGAAGCGTCTCAGACACCACCCTTCTCTATATCGGGATGTCAAAAACATTGGGGTGAGAAGTGAGGTGAGTGAAGGCCTGCGACACCCTCTACTCACCTGTGCAGGGTCCATAAGCATTTCTGCCACCGACGTGGGACCCTGTGGGTAGAGGAAGGCCATGAGAAATGGGTAACCATAGTAGGACCCTACAGGCTGAGCTGACTACCTCCCCTGCACTGTCCTGGTACAAAGCGATCTCAGGCTGATGGTCTAAGCTCAGCTCCTCAGACCTCAGTGCTGCTTCTTTTTTTTTTTTTTTTTTGTGAGGAAGATCGGGCCTGAGCTAACATCTGCTAATCCTCCTCTTTTTTCCTGAGGAAGACTGGCCCTGGGCTAACATCCATGCCCATCTTCCTCTACTTTACATGGGACGCCGCCACAGCATGGCTTGACAAGCGGTGCATTGGTGCGCACCCAGAGTCCAAACCGGCGAACCCTGGCAGCCACAGTGAGTGCGCGCACTTAACGGCTTGCGCCACTGGGCTGGCCCCCTCAGTGCTGCTTCTTACCAGCTGTGCAACTCTGAACAAGGACTGAACCTCCCTGAGACTCAGTGCCCTCATCTAAAATGAAGATAAGAATGGTTTCCACCTCACAGGGCTGATTTGGTATCAAACCTGCATGGCAGACACTACATATCACACATTACTGTCCATAGGATTAACAGTTTTATATACGTTTTCAGTGCAAATGAAGTGGTAGGATTTTGAACTTCTGGATATTTTTCCCACCTTTTAAGGTTTAAGAACATATAATATATATATAAAACTTTCCACTGTTCGGAAGTACCTAGAAGTAAATTAAGTTCCTACCAATCATTAAGTGTTTGCTTAAGTTTAACTTAATAAATATGTTCATTTCTAATTACCTACCAATTATACATATTTAGAGAAATACTGCTTAGCTGGTACTTCAATCAATAACTGTTTCATACATTTTTAAGTTAATGAGCTGTAAGGAGGAGCTGAGCAGGCGGGTCAACCTACTATTCCTTTCAGCAACCGGCCTGCCTGCACCATAATCCTGAGGGGAGCCTGCAGAGAGGCCTTGACTGGACAGTGGGTCCTCTCCTGCTCTCAAGGCTGGAGGTGGTGAGGCTGCAGTGCCCTCATCTGGGACCCAACCACTCCACCAGCCAGGCTAACCTTCCACAGGGAGTGGCCTCAGGGTTTGCTCAGCCTACAGGGTGGAGAATCTAAACCACCTCACACCTCAGTCTCCATCTCAGGCCAATTCCTTACCGTCTAGAACTTCCTAGAGACACAGGACAGAACCCTCACAGGGAAGGTTGCCTCGTTTCTGGAGGACGCAGCAGGGATACCCATCTCCCAGTCCCTTGTCCTCCAAGTCTCAGCCCTCCTCTGCTCAACACAGGGCCCATCAGAAACAACAGCCTTAAGACTCTCCCTTCTCAATCTGATCCCCAAGCCACGCCCTGGTCCAGTCCACACCCTCCTCCCTTTCACATCTCCAGCCCAGCCCTCTGCCCTGGTCTCCAAACCTCTATGTCCACCTACCCAAGTGATGTCTCCACCTTCTGACACCTCCATCTTGAGACCTCTCAGAATCACCATGTCCAAAATAGAACTCCTAATCTCCTCTGTGAAGCCCGCTCCCCGTATTGACTTCCCCATGTCCGTTCTTTCAAATGTTCAGGCACAAATAAACTGGAGATGGTCCTCACTCCCTACTTTTGCTCACTGCCGCACTGCATGCAGCAGGAAATCCCGTCGACCCTATCTTCGAGATCTATCCAAACCTCCTCACATCCCTCCTCTACTGCCACGGCGCTGGGCCAGCCCCTCCCATCCTTCTCCTGCAGTCTGCTGCCCCGTCCTCCTCGCCGGGTCCTCCACCCTGGGTTTTCCCCTTTAAGCGCCTAACTCTGGGCACGTGCTCCCATTTTCCCCTCCCTCACAACCTTCCTCTGCAGGGGAGACTCCTCCTCACTCTCTGTTCCCTGGGGACAAGAAACCCCCAGGCGACCCCGAGGCTGCGACTCAGGAGCACCTGCAGGCCTCGGCCCAGGCCGCCCTGAGGGAACTCCCTCCAGCCCTCAGCACACCGGCTCAAACGGGAACCGCACACCCGCCGCCCCCTGTTCCGGACACAGAGGACGCGCCCCTCAATCCGGGCTTTAGCGCTCGGAGGCGGGAGTGGGACCGGGGGAAGCCGGGGGCGCAGCACCCACCTCAGGCGAGTTCATCGGCGCGGCCTCCGCCACCGACCTGTGGGAAACGTGGGGCCGGGAGCAAGACCGCCGCGTCCCCACCCGGCTCTGTCGGGGCTCACAGCCGCCTCTATGCAGCGGGGACAACGTCTCTTCTGGTCTTTTCATTTACTTCGGCCCCTAATAGGAACTCAGGACGCTCTCAACCAGGGAACTGAGCTAGGACCACTAACATGGCCGACACCACTAGGAACCGCCGGAAGTCCCGCCTCCACGCGATGCGGGCACACGAAAACGTCCCTTTGCAAAGCTGTCATTGCCTCTCACGGTCGCCCCCGCACGCCGCACAGCTCTCTGGGTAATGTAGTTTCCATTTCGTTACCCGCGCTGCCTCTGAGTGTAGGTGGTTCCTGATTTCAGGGATAAAGGGCAAGCGACAAAGTGAGGGGCCCTGGAAATGGAGTTCTGAGGCTCCAACTTGGGAGGGACTGCGCGTGGTCTTAAAAGAGTCGTTCCAGATTTCCTTGGCGTGCAGTCTAGGACTTCACAGAAATGTTTACAGGGCTGTTTGTTTTTTTGAGAGAGATAAGGTGAGTTTTACTTGAGCCAAAGTAAGCATTATAATCTGGGAAGGCCTTTTCCAGAAAGGATTAAAGCCTCCCAGAGAAGCATAGTTTTCAGTACAGTCGTACCTTTTGAGAACAAAGAACCTACTTTAAACACACTCAGGATACATATTAATCAAAGTTTCAAACGGGTATTACTTTGCAAATTAGCAGATTGACATGACCCTGATGTCGAGAAACGGACTAATGTGGGCATTAGGGATCGGGCACAGGAGTGGAAGTATGCATCCTTATCTTAAGAGAGTGCATTCTTTAACGGTTAACGCAGATGTACAATGATTGATAGGCCATAACTCAGGCTTCTTTGTTTAAGCTGAATAAGTTTTGAACCCACAGTTACCCCATATACCTCAATATGTGAAAATCTCTTGTCATTTTCCCCTTTGATCAATAATCTTTTGATAGAAAGCATTGATGATCAAAATATTGTCCCTCAGTGCCAGGGTGGTAGGGTGGTTGCTACCTGCCCTGGGTCGATCATGTCCCTCAGTACTAGGCTTTTATTTCATCCCAGTTATCCACATTGGGGGAAAATAGTCGGATCTAGTAGACAAGCATAGAGGTATATATTAACAGGGGAAGCATCTCATAGGTTATGTAAATTGTGAACTATTTTTAGATTATTGCACAAACATTGTATGTGTGCTTTAGCAAAGATGACACATTGTAAGATTCATCAGCATTCAGTTTGAATGACTGTACATGCACCACCTTGGGATGCAGTTAAAATATCTAAGACCATTCTGTTTTGAAAGACAGCCTTGCTCATTAAAGACATTTTGGTATTTAATAAGGCTATACTTGCTTGACTATCGTTAAGTGCCTGTTGAGTAAATTTAGTCAGGGCTTCTATAAGTGATGACATCATCTAGGCCCAAGGAAGGAACAAATACAGCCACTAGGTGGTCATACCAGTGGAACACTGAATGAGCCTATCTGGCCTTGAGGAGAGGAAGATTGGCAACAGATGTTAGCTCAGGGCAAATCCTTCTCTGCATCCAAGGGAAGCCCAGGGTGCAGTGTCCTAGTCATTTGGGTGGTAGTCAAGGCCAGAGGTTTGTTCCACATAACCACTGAGTTCCATTAGGAGCCACCCAATAAATGCCTGGCCTTCAAGACCAGTCTGTTCCAAACCAATCACTTTCTTTAAGTATGACAGTATTCTGAAAACCTTAAATGGAACAATTATAAAATGGGTATATGGTTTAAGCATTACAAGGGACAGACCTGTTATTTTAGACTGCATGAATTGCAGCACATTCCCAAAGGCTGCTCATAGAAAGGGACACAGCATATCGTAATGTTACTTGGCATCCCCTCGTAGCTGTCAGCTATCTTGTTGCTTGTCAAAGACGTGGACACTGACGTTTTGGAGTAGTTTTTTTTTTTGCTTGAGGCAGATTCGCCCTGAGCTAACATCTGTTGCCAATCTTCCTCTTTTTTTTTTTGCTTGAGGAAGATTAGCCCTGAGCTAACATCTGTGCCAGTCTTCCTCTATTTTGTATCTGGGTCACTGCCACAGCATGGCTGATGAGTGGTGTAGGTCCATGCCCAGGATCCAAACCCGTGAACCTGGGCCACTGAAGCAGAGCATGCCGAACTTAACTACTATGCCACGGAGCCAGCCACAGGAGTAGTTTTTATGAGCTTCAGTAGGTTCGGTCAGGGACAATAAGAAAAGCTCCCAGACAGGGCTATGATGGGGACCTTGAAGAAGGAATGTCAGGAGGCACTGAAGTCATTAGAAAGAGTGATGCTGTGCCTGTGGTCCCCCCAGAAAACAGCTTTCCCACCTGTATAGTTTGTGATGGTGTTCCAAGCAAGAGAATAACATTTGTATTCAGATAATACTTATTACTCCATATCTGAGATATATTCCATTTCTTTTAGGAATCTGAAACCTCTCTAAAAGAAGAGGGACTTATCACATGCCATCTTCTGCTGAGACAGTGGATGCCTTTCTGACAATTTGACCACGTGTGCAAAAGGGCATCTTATCCATGAGATAAAGGCTTGGGTATTCATGATCTCATCTGCTTGCTGGGAGGTGGGTTATCACTTCACCTGTAACTGCAGCAGCACTATCTGCACAGCAAGTTGAGATTGTCTCTGGAAAAAACATTTGTGAAATGGACATTACTGAATGTTATTAATAGTGATTTTATAGTTTTTCAAGGAAAGTGGCAGAAATGGTTCTAGAGAAACATATCTGTGACAAATGGGGAAAAAAGTTCAGATCTCAGTGCAGTTTGAACAAGAGGCACTGAGTCTGAGAAGTCAGAGATGAAGCTGAGACTGTGGCTTGCTGAAACCTTGGCCGCACTCAGGGTTTGGTCTCAAAATGTGATTATTTTTAATATTTGAAGACGTTCGTTAACAGCTTGGAGGGAGAGGTAAAGACAATATTTAAAAAGAGTTGTCTCCCGGGCCGGCCCCGTGGCTTAGCGGTTAAGTGCTCGCGCTCCGCTGCTGGCGGCCCGGGTTCGGACCCCGGGCGCGCACCGACGCACCGCTTCTCCGGCCATGCTGAGGCCGTGTCCCACATTCAGCAACTAGAAGGATGTGCAGCTATGACATACAACTATCTACTGGGGCTTTGGAGGAATGAAATGAAATTAAAAAAAAAAATAAAAAGAGTTGTCAAAAAGGTAAAAATGAATAGGGAAGTTGTGCTGTTGTGTATTTACTGATCTACAAATGTTCAATGAGCACTTACAGGGTTTCAGATGCAATAGTAGGGGCATGGCACACATCGGGAATAGGACTGCCAGCTGTTCTCTGTATACAGCACATGTCCTGTGTCCTGTATTGACATTTTCAGGACATCCTAAATATCCTGTATTTAGCTTTTTACAATACATTACACAAAGTCAGCAGTTACAGCTATTTTTCTCTCACTGTAATTGGCAATTAAATCACTTGGTGGCAACTTTAGCTTAAAAACATATCTCCATAAATAACGTTCCGGACAATGCCGTGATCTCTCCTGCAGGTTTGGCTAAAGAAAAACAAGAGAAGAGTGGGAATTAATAAAGGGAAATCGGGAGGCCAGAAGGGGGAGCCCTGGTGCACTACCACTGGAAGTCAATTACAGGAAGAATTGTCAATTACAGACCACAACAGGAAGAAATGTACATTGCATCCCAGACAGAAATTGACTACCCCAGCAACTCAGCCAATGAAAAACCATCACCACAGTGAACTCCTGTTTTTCTCCAATGGACTTTTGTTCAAAACAACCTGTCCCAATTTCCTCCTTTTTCCCTATAAAATAACACTTCTCTGCTTTCATTGTTGGACTTGCCAATGGCTTTTGCTATAACTTGCTTGTCCCAATTGCAATTCTTTGCTGTTCATGAATAAACTCACTTTTCTGGTAAAATAACTGGCTGTTTTATTTTTTTAGGTTAATGGAGGACTAAGAATTAGGCGCTCATTTTTCATATTCAGCAAAGGAAAAGACTGTTCTGTGGCCAAATTCCAGTCATGAACAGAAACCAAGGTTTATTGGAGGTAACTTCAGATGACCTCTGATAGTCAACCAGCCAACAACAGCCTCACCCCAGTAACAGCTTCTGATAAGTAGCAAATCACTGATAGTCACAAACTTCTAAAATTCAGCCAGTGTTCAGGCCCCAGTCCTGAAAGACAGCCAATCAGTGACAGCCCAGGCTCCTAGACAACAGCCCATCAGTAAGTGCCTCACTTCAGTAACCCTGCTTCTGAAAGTCAACTAGTCAACACTAGCAACCACAGTAACACACCTCGAAGTCCATCAATCCTTAAAACATGTCCGTTTCTGAAAGCCCACTAATTCTGGAATGCCAGACTTCCCAAAAGCTTAAATGAGAGCAACTCTGGCTTTTTTTGAGGAGATTGCCTGACAACTAGAACTCTCCCTTGCAGACAAATAGGAAGTTCACTTTTTTCTTTTTTGTAGCAGATACCAAGTTCAATTCACTGTTACTTCACAAGTTTGCAAAACTTTCAATGGGTCAACCTCTGTTTACATTTAGTTGAGTTTGGACTTGTGAGTGAGAGATGAACTGACACAGCCATGAGATTGAAAAGGCAACTTTTCTATTCTTGCTGAAGTTGCTATTATCAATTTTTTGTATATACTGAATACAAAAATACCAAAATGCAAGTGTAAATTTTGCAATGAATTTCCTTAAGAGTGGATATTTATTAAATGTGGTAAAAATCCTCTTCAAGGTCTTCATGTGGTATGCAATTGTTCATTCAATATTGAAAATGATAGACAGATATAAATCAACATCACTAACAGTTAAACATGAGAGATGTATGATTTCCTCAACTAGAATCAAAGCAAGTGAAAAAATAATTGTTTAAGATAAATTCAGTGTAAGAAGGTAAAATAATAATAGAAGTTGTAAGGAACTTCCACCCTGTATATCATCATCAGTCTTCTAGTTCAGACTACTGTTGAGCCTGTGTCTCATTCATCAATGTTCAATGGACAAAAGAACAAGATAAATGGGATGTGCCCACTGTAGAAGCTATGTTACATCTATTATAGTTAT